TTTTTTTTTTTTTTTTTTTTTTTTTTTTTTTTTTTTCACCTCTGACTATAAATCATAAGTACAGTTTATGAATGGCATAACTAGAAAGTTCAAATGAAAGAAGGGGAAAGTGGACATGGGAGGGGCAGGAAGGAGACGAACGAAAAGGAGAGAGTAACGAAAACAGATGGGAAAACTTATTTTTGTAAAAAATTGTTGACAAGGCAAGTATCTTATGCGCATTTTTATGTGCATGCGCAATGCAATGTCTATTGAGATTGGGTGCCCGGAACAACTTGTTCCACCATACTCACTCTTGGTAAGAGGGGGGCACTTAGGAAATAGCCCGAGTGATAACAAATACCAACAGCAATCACCCGCTGACAAGGCTGTCTATAGCTCCCTCTTTCGAAAGTTGCTTACAAGTATGATGATGACAGGTAGATTTGCAGAACAAAATTAAATCCTTTTTCTAAGCATACATGAAACTTCCTGAGCTTCAGCTTCTACTCACAAATGCTTTCGGGTTTTTTTTTTCCAACGGCATTTTGATGCAGCGCGTTTTGGCTGTAAGGACCAGGTGTTTTTTTTTTTGCAGCTAACTTTTGTCAATTTGCAGGTTTGCAAAGAATTACCATCAGATAGTGGTCATCTGATGTTTCATAAAAATAGCCTTCCAATTTTTTGGCGCGAGGCGTGCTGATGATAATTTACGATGGAACTGGGTAAAAAATTACTTTTTATGCGTTTTTGTAATTTAGCGCTATAGCACTGCTAGTCTCTGTTTATGTTTGCGAGTGCGTATGTGTGCTTTTAGGCATTTTAACTTTGCAACTAGACAGCTTAGGTACTAAAATCTTGCCAGAGCGTCCCCTGGCCAAGTAGGACAACCAGTCCCTTGTTCACACGTTTTATTTCAGTACTGGCATGTTCCAGAGACTTTTTTTGCTGGCATGTTCCAGGGACCAACAATTTGCTTGTAAGCAACCTTCGAAAGCGGCAGACTGCTCTTTTTGGACCCAAAATTCCTACTTAAGACGAAAAGTTGCACAAAATGAGTGGGCGCTTCAGCCATGTTGTGATATGAGGCAGATAATTTTGCGGGGGGTTTCAGGTGGCAGCAATGAATTCAGCTGTGAAACCAACTGCAGTGGTTGCTTCCTGCTCGGCGAATGAAACATTGTCTTCTGGCTTGCTGCGTCGTGGCTCCAAGGTTGTTGGTATCTATGCAAATGCGCACAGTCCACATAGCAGCTCCTCTGGTCCATCATATTCCGTTCGGGAACCGGTCAGCGCCCATACACTCAGTACCGGCCGCGCTCCGCGTACCGGTCGAAAAACACTGGAACCCATGTTAGTTGCATTTTTCCAAACAGCTAGGAGTTTGGTAAATAAATTTGCCGGTTTGTCTACTTCTTATCTGGGTTATCCGTTGAGAGAGCAGAAAACGGTCTCAGGAAGCAATGTTTCTGTTGTGCAGAACTGTATTTTGCTCACCCTTAAGGTTCATTCAGTTTTTTACTCGAAAAAGTGGAAATTTTTGATTTTAACTTTTTTCATGTTGCGCCGTGTTTATTTGATTCTTGATACCAGAAGTGGCCACTAGAATTCATATCTGATTCCTCAGTGATGCAGCGAACAAAGTGTCGTTTTCTTTCTTCATTCTATGGTTGCTTTAAACAATGCTGCATTGTCTGTTGGTTGATCATTTGGCCGTCGTCACGTTCTTTTTTCTCGGCCCAGTGGCTCTTTATGCAAAAACATTTTAGTAAAGCTTTAACCACTTGGAGATTCAACAGTGCTATTACCATTTCTTCTCCAGGCGTTGTGGTATGTCCCAAACCACATTGTTGTATTTTGCCAACTTGTAGTTCACTTCATAATCACAGAAAAACCCGATAACTTGAGTGAGACCAGTGACAGCCGCTACTCCTCTCAGCGTTCTATAATCCAGCCCCAATGCCAGAAACCGCTGGATTTATTTTGAAAAATAGCCAAGTACAGCAACGTAGCGGAAAATGGTAGAAAAAGATGCTTCATCCCATAAGCAAATGATGATCTCTTGTCTATTTTCTCGAAAAACTGTTCACGGCTTGATTGTTCTGTATATAATGACTGAAAAAAAAATTCTTACACAGGGGTATTAACTTTTAGACTGGGATTTTTTTTACAAATTTTTAAGGATTTGCAAGGAAGGCTTTTTCCTAGATGCGTCACTGATCAAATTATGCAAACTTATGCAAACTGTTAAAATTTTGATTTTTCACATACATATACACGTAATAGCCTTTTGCTTGAATTTTTCAAGCAACTTGTTTTGTATGGCACTTTGCATGGGGGTAAAAGTCAAGGAGTACAGCAATTTATTCAGCGTTTGGAAACTCAACTTCTCGACCTTTAAAAAATTTTAACCTTTCAGTCTCGGTCTATCACTAATTAACTGTTTTTTTTCCGACAAGTGACGATTGCAGCGTGAATAGGTAAACGAATTCTTGCTTATCAGTTCAGCCGCACATGCTTGCTGGCTATTAGTTTAATTCAGTGAGAATCAGCATCAAAAAGAACTGATGCATATGCATTGTGAATGAGGAGCTGCATTTTGGACAACGCACTTAGCAAAACGAGTTATGCTGCAATTTCTGTAAAAGAAACGAAAGCGTATTTATTATTGACTCAGAATGGCGCACTTTTCAAATTTAATTTTGTTTTTCCTGCCAAAATTTCTTTTCTGCATATCCTGAAGAAGCTTTTTTGTTATCAAGAATATCAAACCGTTCAGAGAGCCAGCGTGGATATCTCATATTAGTGATGCCACTGGTTACAGCTGTGCCAGGTCCATCGATCCTGAACTGTATACTTTCAGTTTCTCACACACATATGCGCCATTTCTTAGGAAGCCAGCCGAAAGGTCGCTTGTCGTCTTGCGGGTACCGCTTATTGATACATGACGTCTGCGGGTTATCAGTGATACGAGTAACATACTCATCCTATTTGATTTTTTCTCATTTGGTAGCAATAAATTCCAAAATGCCGCCTTTTTTGATATTAGTTCAAAAGCATAATCATTTTTTGTACTGTCTACTCGTATAATATGAAATTTGATGAAAATTAACTGAAAGGATAATCGAGAATTGAGGCCCGAATATATCTGTTACTTTTTCAGCGTCTTGTTGGAATCCTTTCAGCAGTTTTTGCTTGAGTTACACTTTTTAACCAGATTCGGCAAATCAGCAAGCATAAGGGAGGAGTTAGTTCGGAAAATCAGATTATGCTCATAAGTAATTCTGGGCTATGTCTAAAATGCCATTGTTGGACAGCTAGAAGCCAACAAATACAGCGTCCAGATGCTTGCAGTGAAATGTATTTGGGAAAATATGTTGCGCCTTTGATCGCTCCGACTCCTGCGGTTTTCTTATTTATGCATGCATGTTTTGCATTTTCCGCCGGCATTTATTCATGCTGACAATTTCCTGAACTTAAACTGTGCGCTTGATAACCACACTTCTAGCCATTTTCTCTTATACACTCTCTGTGTGTCAACAACAAAAACCAAGCTGTTTTTTTGTGTCTGATCAGATTTGAAGCTATCTATCTCCAAGTCTTTTTTAGGGTCTGTTTAGGGAATGTTTTTGCTCTTTTTCATCTCTTAAATTGGACGGAATTCGGTTTAATTCAAAGCAAGCAAACTCAGCTAAACATTCACGGATGTAATTGTGAAATTTATCAGCGAAATAAGGGAAGTGCACGTAGAATGATATCGGTCACCAGACTGTTATTCATCCTAGTTATTTGGCTGTCGACGCATTTTTTCATCCATCTGGACGAAACTAAACTGCTTGAGAAATATGTGCGAAACCCAAATCTGCTTCATTATTTCAAGACCTGCCATCTCCCTATTCAAGATTTTGTTTATTTCTGGAATGCTGACCACTGATGGATTGATATATTTAAAGTGATGCTTCCTCATGCTGAATATTATTCAGTGATTCGCTGGCGCGGGTAAGTTCTCAGTGGGTTTTGAGGTTCTTTTGATCCATAAAGGTTCTCTGCTCTTGTTTTTTCTACTGCACATTTCAGTTTATGTGCAGCTGACCAAATAGACAGCTGCGCCAGCTACAAGCTTTTAGACAAGCTATAAAATTGTAGATGCAGACATACAATGTTATATACTGAAAATTTTGTTAATGCAATTTCCCATATACATGATAAGCATAAAGGAAACTGAGACGTCTGGAATCTTTTTGTTTCTAGTTGTTCAGCAATCCTTAAATGGTTCCTTGCAAAAACAGTTCCATAGAGCGCACACAGCGGGTTAAATACTCACGGCAAGGATAGCAGCGTAACTAACGCTAGGATCGAAAGTACAGAAGTCTGGCATAAAAAGTTTGGTGATAACTTTTAATTTAGTAACTACGAACTCTTTTCTTAAAAAAATTTCTGGTGATAGCTCTTACGTAATAACTCTAATGTGATTTATTCACCTGAAATAGCAAAAGTCAAAAGCCTTCTTTATTTTTATTCTTTACGAGCGGCGGAGATCGGCAGTAACCCAACCATGAGCCAACAGCAACCATTTGCTGACAAGGCTCTACATCTACTCTTTCAAGAAATGCTTAGAAACAAACCGACGGCGAGATCCACTCCTTGGTTGGCACCAGTATCAGCTTGCCATCGGAACATGAAAAACTCAGGCTGAAATACACAGGTTTGCAGTGCGATCATGAGTTTTTGTACCACACTTAAAGTACTCAGGTCCTTAACTGCACAAGTGCTTTACACCTATCTTTTGCTCTCACCAGCATAAATTATCGCAAATTTTGCATAAAGGAAATGAACAATTTCCATTTAGCGGTTGTTCTTTGAAAGTGACCTAGCTCTTCAGTGAGCAATTTTCCCAACAAAAGCTTTGAGTGCCCATACGTGAGAACCATGCATACCTGCAGGTTGAGTGTGAAACATTTAAGTTTTACTTGAACAAGGGGCATCCCCCTACAATTCCAGCTTTGTAGCTTTTCTGGTTCCTGAATTAGTAATTTTCTCACCGAAACTTTTAAATACCCGTACGTGAGTAGCACGTATGCAGAGAGGCTGAATTTGAAATCTTTAAGTTGTACGTGGACAGAGAATATAGCTTTAAAGTTTCAGCCTTCCAGCTCTTCTGGTTACACAGTTAGCAGTTTTCCCGCCAAATCTTTCCTGTGTCCAAGGCTGAATACCTGAGGGTCGAATTGAACATCTTTAGCTCACACGTGCAAGAAGAATATTCCTGTAAATTTTCAGCTCTCTACCTTGTTTGTTTCCCGAGGTCGCTTTCCCGCTAGAAAAATTGCATATTTTTTTTGAAGCGTCCGTACGTGGGGCCTAGGGGTAAGAAGATAGTAATATAAAAATGGGAGGATCACACAAGTGGTGGGAACATACTCCCGAAGTTTCAACTCTCTCGCTTTCTCGGTTCTCGAGCTGAAAGTGAGCGACAAAAATTGCGAATACACAGACACACACACACAAACATCCTCTTGCCAACAAGTGTTTTAGCATTTGCATGTATGCAAAAACGCGTAAAAAATCGTAGAGAGTTGTGTTAGTGCGGAGTCGAATCCTTAAGAGTAGAACTGTTTACCACTGCGCCGTGTTCGCTATCCTTTTGAAATACAGACTGAGAAAATTGGTTAGTCATTGAGAAATGGCCAAAAATTTTTCATTGGCCATCGCAACGCTATCAGTTTTGAATTTGGTTTGAGTGCTAAACTGGATCCAGCACAACAGAAAGGATTTGCTTCGAGTGCTACTTTAGCTATCTGCGAAAGTTTACACGGGCGAAACCAAATAGTTCTGCACCGTCGTCTCGCTGTTCTCCCAGTAAATATTACTGGTACAGTTCTGAATGACATGAAAACGGGAGCGACGATGAGTTGTTGGAGATGAGGGGAATGTTAGAAAAAGCCGTAGGGTGTAAAGGCGACGCACTGTGGAGTCGCGTCCGGAAAAACTTATCGCAATAATAACGTTTTTTTTTTCGTTCGCTTGCCAGAGAGCCTGATGCACGCCGCTGTTCAGGTATAATTTTGGCATATTTTTTCTTTCCGATCATTATTATGCGTTTTTTGCAGCAATGCAATGCGAAAAACGCATATTGACGAGAGGTTGTCTGTG